TTTTAAGACTTTTTAAACGCAAAGATACGTCAATGGATACGAAATTTCGCTTAACAATAGCTCAGACTGCCTTATCACGGATCAGTTTGTGTAACTGTTTTTAGTTACTTTCAAACCTCTAGGGCTCATGAAAACAGACATATCATCCTGCATTAATTTACTATCAATTTTTTAAGGTAATATGCCACTAAGCCGATCGAGCTGTCTATCTGAAATCGTCACAACAAACCTTTATGCTACAAAAGATTCAACTGACGAAGCGCTAATGCTCGATAGGTCAACTTGGATACTCTTTACGGTGGCCAATTTACATTATCAACTTAGTTGATAAAACCAAGTTATATTATTATACTTCCTCACCGACGCAATATCACAGTTTCTTTAGAAACTTCCGCCCTTTATTTTTGGATCAAAACAGATCAATGGTCACTGTTTCACTCAACTTTTTGTTGCGTCTATTAAAGTCTTTCAAAAACAGACTACCTCACTTCGATTAATTAAGTCTTTGTCCCTCACCCGAGGCACGAACTCAAAATACCTCTACCCATAATCATTCTTGCAAATGGCCACAGAAAACCCCGACTTCTAGTAACATGGCATGCTTTTATGTATCTATTTTCCATCTGGAACGATTTAAGAGGGAACTAATTAATTGTCATGGCCATACATTCCTGTGTTGGTTGGAGTTTTGTAACATTGTAAGAGCTAAACCGCAAGATTGACTTTTGATAAACTTGCATAAAGTCTAGATCTTTCTCAAAAGGGGAGCAAATTAATGGAAGTCAAAGGTGAAACTTACTGTTTACGCTCTCTGAAGAATCCCTTCACTATACCAATGGAATTTTTTATTAAAAGCTGGCAAGAAAGTGTTTTTGTTGTCTTGCTTAAAAGAAGTCCAAAAACAATTCAATAGTGAACAGTTCCTGAAGAGTCATGTTTTTGAAAATTCGAAGTTTGAAAAGACCGAGAAAAGCTGACCTAGTTTAAGGTGATTATTAATGAACCATTTAGAATTGAAAATGCTATCTAAAGAAAAGTTCTTAAATTGTCAATAAAACTGTTGTTTCATCGTTTCTCGGTTCTCCTTTTAATTTGGTGAGTATTTCCGAATACGCTTCTGTGTCAAAACTATTGAATCAGGTGGTCATGGTCAGGCGAATAGCTTTAATGCATCTCGCCCTAAGCGTTTTTCTAGGTCTTTAAATAGTATCAGACATTCTCTATAATGAAGGCCTCACTGCATAAAAGTCTCATTCACTCACATGCATACCTGTTCTCCCCGAAGAGTTGGCAGCTTCACCTGAGCTATTCAAGAGAATCTGAGAGTTCGAAAGGACCGATCGAGAAACTAAACTAAGATTTAGAAGATTTGACAATTGAGTTGATTTGATGACTTATACTGAATATTTTCCATTATAGGTATCAATAAGTGCGAATCTTTGACAAATCTGTGACTGCTTACTTTTGTATTTGCCACACCCGCCTTGCCTGGGAAATAATCTGAATGAACACTCTCTTCGTAATACGCCTAAGAAGGCTCCCACAACATGATCTGTTTTGCCTTGTGACTTTCGAACGAAGACGATGCAATTGAATTCACCCCAGAGCATTTGCCAAAGTTTTCGGCCTGCAATTTATAAGAATTTTCCCTGTTGTTCTTTCATGGTCTTAGTCAGGGTACGTTTGATGCTGTATTCCCAGTATCAACTTCTGAGCGTTATAAATTTTTCAACACAAAGATACGTGAGTCACTAAGAAATCGCACCTAACAGTATGTCAGACCAGCTTAACATGTATTAGTCAGTGTAGCTGTTTTTATTTCCTTTTAAATCAAAGGGGCGCATGAGGAGAAATCAGTAGAGTGCAAAATAATTCAATCCTAAGCAGGCGCTGCCTTTGTCAATGATGCGGACGATATATTTAAAACTTACGGTCGCTTTGGACTGTTCCTATGATTCTCATGTTAAGTACACCTGTGAAGTCTTGCTGCAGGCTATCTAAAAATATGCGAAATTACTTGAATAAAATCACAGAGGGGAGAAATTCGTTCTGTTTACAGACCTGCCGAGATGAAACGCTCGTTTACTCTTATACACTTATATTCGTGTACTTTTACTGGATCTCGTCAATCTTGCTCTTTCTTCACCGTGGTAATGGGTGTCACGTTTAATCGCTATTTTTTCTTATCACTTTGTGCATGTAGACTAATCAAACGAACGCCAGTTAACGCTCGCGAACCCACGCGGCAGGGTGAAAAATAATATTGCTCTCACGAGATGTCGATAACAAATTCTTCGTTTATCAATCCCACTATTAAATTTAGAGAATCACTTTGGCTAATCCTGGATTTTCCAATGAGCCAGGTTCGATGAAAGATAAATTTGTTTTACTCTTTAACCCAGTTTAAGTCCCACTAGTGACCTCGACAGAATTTCTCCTCACACTATCGGTTACAATATCAAGCAGACAAGTAATGAGAATAAAGAAAAGTATCAATTAGTGTATTATTGGTTGATCCAATTCCAAATTCTCCAAACTAACACCATATGAATTATATGGCAGACGGTAAGGAGAATTACTAATGAGATCTTGGGAGTTAGAGGGTTAAGAAATGTTAAGATCGAAAGAGTCCCTACAAGAGTGAGCCGTCTTTTGATTAATGCACCCACCGCCTGATAACTAGACACCATTTACTCAGCGGACACAAAAAAATCTGGTTTGTGACACAACGAAACAGCGTGCATGTATATCATTTTTCTTGTTGTATTAGAAGAGCAGATTATAAAGAATATTAAGGGTTGGTAACAAATGAAAACTATAGTGAAATTGTTCAAAACAAGGAACTTTTTTACCATAATACTACAGAAAGCAGGAGAAACAATCGAATGTTCGAAAATTTATTAAAGTCTTGAAAAGAAATTCCGTGATATTTACCAATTTTCTTTGAAGACGGACAAAGACGAAGGTTTCACTGTTATACAAAGTTCTTAAAGGGCAAATTACTAAGAATATTAATGGTTAGTGGCAAATGAAAACTATAGACAGACTGGTTCAAAACATGGAATTTTGTTGCCATGTTATTACAGCCGTATATAGGAGCAGTGGAACGTTTGTAAATTTAATAATAAAACGACAAACAGAAATTCGTGCTGTTAAACGTATCTTTCAAAGGCGAATGAATAAAAGGGGTAAGTTTGTAAAGAAACTGTGGTGCTGTGTCGGTGGGAAAGTATAACAAGCTAAGTCAACATGCAATCACGCTAAGCGAATACCAGGAGGGATACAGCTGTGGAAGTCCTCAAAGGAATTTAATTACATTTAGCAAGACACAATGTTTAATTTCCTGCCTCTCTGACCAAGTCACATACAAAACTTATTTAGATTTCTTTTAAAAATCATAAGAGGCATAGTTCTTTTTGATTCGTTTGGCGGAGAAGCCCAATCGTTTCAAAGCTCGCATGCATGTGGTGCGTCTTCCTCATTCAGTTCGCGGCTGAGGAAGTCTTGATAAAAAGCCATTTCGGGTATTATTACCGTGTAACTGACTTAAGACATAATGACTGTTTAAAGACATGAATCATGACTCTTGGGCACACAGGAGGCAATCATGATATCTGAGAAGGAAATCAACTTATTTCTTTCGTTGTAAACATGAACTTCAAGAGTGATAAGCTCAAAACGACCACAATTTCCAACATTTTTGTAGTTGTTTTCAGGACCTTGAAGAATGGCTCAAACTGGATTGATTCTTGTTCCTTTATTCTTGTTGTCCATCGTGATTCTGGGTAAGATTTCCCAATATGCAAATCTGTTGATAAAAATCTTGAACATTTGATAGTGTAGTGGACAGGGGACGGGAGCCTGGGAATATTGGAGCCCGGAGGAGTACTGAGCCGGGGTTAGAAAGGAAAAGGAAGGCATCGGAAAGAATGCGACCGAAACCAGATCATTACATAATAGATAACCCAATGCTAGCACCACTATTGTAAAACCCAGATCCCCGATCTTCTTGTCGCTAACGAATTGATTTTCTTAATTATTATCTCAGTGCAGAGTAGATCTCCAGAAATCTGTAACTCGGAGTCAGAAGTCAAGTTACTTGCCTCAAAAAAACGACCTCGGGGGGCTGAATGGTCAGTCTTAACGGTAATAATCGGGGGCAACTCCAGTGACCCGAACGGGAGAAAAGAATGTGGAACACGATGCGAAGAAATTTGCGTGAGTCCAACAATATGGATAGATTGCATAGCCTTTGCGTCGATGGTTTTTCCTAAAGAGCCCTCAGCTTGCCAATGCTGGGCATACAAAAAGCTGCCCGACTTCGGGCCTCGCGTCCCAATTGAAAGGGCTACTTATTTAAATGGTTGGTGCGTAATGGAATGGTTCAGCTTTGGAATGACGTTGTAAGTGCCTAGAACCCAGTCCCCTCTGTTCCGAAGCCGTTTGACGAGGCTTCTTGGCCGCCAACTAAGTCAAGTGTATAACTTAAGTGCAACATGTGATTCGTTTCATAAATTTGTAGTGATAGTCGAGTTGGGAATTGATTAGATTTGTCTTTGTTCTGCATCACTGTTTATTTAATAAGGCTGCCTGTCAAGATAAAAACTGTTCAAGTCTTAAATATATAATGCTGGTGTGTTATCTCCCTCGGTACCTGAACTAGGAAAGGTTACGTAGGAATAAGGTGCGGACTAAAATGAATGATCGACTGATAAATGAGACTTGTTAGTCTCAGTCTCTCAGCACAGACTGGGAATGTTATAATCGACTAAAATAGACCAAAATTGAAAATCAAGCACAAAAATACAACTATCCCAAAACTCCTTGAAAATAAACACATTTTTATCTGATGGAAATCAAATTTGCTTGATTTTCTCTCTTTGTGGAAAAAGTAACAAAGCTTGATGGTTTTCGAGAGATTTAGTAAACAGCACAGGGACCAAGGATGTTTGTTTCTAATACAGGCTAGTTGCTATGTATGAATTTACATAAGTAATGTTTTATAGTTTTATAGTTTTATAGAAATACCCTGCACTTCCAATGATTATCATCCTCAGTCCAAGAGGTGAAGCCACAATAATTTTTGATGAATAAAGCTTAGCATACAGCTTCACACATTTCTTCATGAGTGAAATTCCAATCCTAAAGCAGTCATCAATGTTCCCTTGGAACACTTGATTTTCTATCCCTAGTTCTCCATTCTCCATTCACCTTTCCCAAATTCCTGATTTTCCATCTCTAATTCTCTATTTCCCATTCTCCAATCTCCATTATCCATTCTCAATTCTCCATTTTCCATTTGCCATCGCCTATTATTCATTTCTCATTATCCGTTTCCCATTTTCAATTCTCCCATCTCCGTTCCCCATTTACCATTTCCAATTTCCCATCGCCCACTCTCCATTTCCCATTTCCCGTTCTCAATTTTCCATTGCCTATTCTCCATTTCCCGTTGCCCATCCTCCATTTCCCATTTTCCATTACTCGTTCTTCACTTTCCATTCTCCATTCTTCATATCTCCTTTCAGTCACATCCTTCCATAACCATTGGTAACTCGCATAACTCTGGTTTGTGTCAAGAGATAGAGGCACAACCATCTCCCTTCGGTTCTCTGAGAGAGACCAGCCTCTTAAGCAGAATTGGTGAATTCCCACCTATTTATTAACAAGACGTGAGTTGTGCCACTGACTGATTTACATCAGGATGTTTCTGTGGCAATTATGCACCAACTTTCAAGAAAAAGGAAGAACCAATTAAAAGCCGAAACAACTCAAGGATTTACACGAGAAATTAATTACTCTAAGCGTTAAGAGTTTGTACGAAGAAATACGCAGTCGCAAGAAATTCTATTTTAGTGACACGAGACTTGTGGACTAAAAACAACTGCAAAAGACAAAACTGCTTAAAAAGCTATAAAATTAAGTCGCAAGTTTATCGTTAGGCATTCTGTGTGTTCTAAGGGACGATTAAAGGAAAAATATTCGAAATCCATATCAGCAGAGTTCAAACTGATGTTTTCGCAATTTTCTGCAGAAAGTATTGTACTGGCAAGTCTTTTCCGCGCCTAGAATCTCGTTTAAATAAAAATTTTGGTGGAAAACTTTTGGTTGAGTCACAATAAAATTTACCAGACCCCCCAAAGGCTCTGTAGTATTCTTCAGGCCCCGGTTGTTCGAAGGGTGGATAACGCTACGCACTGAACAACCACGCTCTCAGGCAGTCAATTTTCTATAGTCCCCTTTAATACTCTGTTAGCAGAGACTGATCCCTCCTCCGTTCCCCTTGAAAACCATATTACCCACCCCCCCTTCGCCCTTCCTTTCACCCTTCATACCTTTGCAATTTGATTGATCACTCAAAACAACCCTTGCAATATCTGATTCGTTGTTTAAATAAATTATGTAATCGGGAGCTCTTTTCAGAACCCACGATCGTCCCACAAACTTTTAATGATTGGGAGCTCTTTTCAGAGCCCGTTGGACCCCCGATCACCAAACAAACTGTATGTGATCGGGAGCTCTTTTCAGAGCTCGCTGAACCCCCGATCGTTCCACAAACTGTATGCGATCGGAATCTCTTTTCGAAACCCCCAACCATCCAATGTTTCTTCACATGGTGCCGCCATACGTTGACGTTGTTTACCCAACGTTCAATTTGCAAATAAAAGACGAAGGTAGGTAGGAGATAGAGGGAAGAATCTGGAAGGCCCAAAACACTGTTTGAGCTGTTTTTTGGAAATAAAACTGAGCTGGTGAGCAGCACTTTGCGAACAATATTCTCCGACGCGTTTTTTCAAACTGTCGTAGACTTCTTCAGGGAGTTTAAATTACAAGTTAAAATTTAACGCCTGTATTTATAAGCCATAGTTAGCGGCTATAATGGGGCTAAAGACCAAAAGGGCTTGGCCGGACATACGAACAGGAACAAGGGAAATTTGAAAATCTTGTGGATAAGGTGAGAAAAATATTATGAGAGCCACGGTTTTAGCTAAATAAAAAAAAAATACAAATTAAAAAAATTGTCAAAAGAATTATTAAAAACATTCTTTAAAAGTTATTTGAAAAATTTTTCGAAAAATTATTTTAAAAGATTGGATACCGACTGGTGGAATCTGGTCTCGAACGTGTGGGGCAAGCTCCGGCGCAAGGCGAACGGAGATTTCGGCACAAGATCCAGTCCACCTCAAAAAGAGGAAAAAGCTTAAAGGTGAGACGTGGATTAAGGTGTCGCTTCAACCTCAAGAAATTGAGACACTTGTCCAAATAACTTTTATTTCATAATGATCTCAAACAGGGTACATCTTAACAGACGGTCTCCATGGATACAAAATAGTCAATACAAACACAATACAAAATCCTTGATATAAGAAAAAGAACCATGTAGATAACCTTTATTAACTAATTCTGATCTTGTAATATTTCTCGTTTAATTATTTATTGTTCATTCAAATATTTTTTTGCAGAGATAAGGCAAGAGAAGCGTTGTTTTTTTGTGGAAACATAGGGATTGGTGCCACGGTCAATACAAGTTGTTGATAAGAATAACCTGCTTCATGATATGGATCTGTCTGAAATTGAAAGGAAATAAAGTTTGAAAGTTGTAAAGGTGAGCTAACCCAGAAAAAACATTTTATATAATTGACGTACAGAGTGTTAAGAAATAAAACAGCCATAAAACATGAGTTATGCCATTTTTTTGCCAATAGTTAAAAAATGCATAGATACAAGTCATACAATGATGGATTAAACATTCGGCTTTATGTTTTATTTACCGACATAGACAAATGCTTTTGAGAGCTTACCTGAAGAGAAAAAAAAATCAGGGCCATCCTACATAGTATGGATAGGTTTTCCATATCTCAGGAGGCTTACCATTCGTAACATAACAAAAGTCATCACTGCTAAAGACGTACCTGGTTGAATCTTGCCAGAAGGTCATTGATGACCTGTGGAAACCCACAAGGACACCAGGAATCTGTCCAGGGGATGAACTGGCTTTTAAGCTTCTGGTGGAAAAAGAAATAAGAGAACATGTAAGTGTATTTACAATGCTACTTAGGGACTAGAGAGGGAGACCTTGAGACTTGGTGAAGTGCTTGGTTAGTCATTTACAATAGCAAACGTAACAAATAACTTTGTTGTTTTTAGCTCAAGAATTCAGTTGACAAAGAGCCTGTGGTAAAAGTTAAAGTATCTGGAGACGGGGTGAGAATGTCCCATAAAAGCTTCCTATTTGTGTGTTCATTTTCACTTCTTGGTGAAGGTCAGTGTGTGCTGTCAAGTTCAGGTAACTTCTTGCTTTTAGGTGCAGTATTTATCAATATCATTATTTTGACTCAATGGTAACTGCACAAACATGTATTTCATTATGTTGCATTCGTTTAGTTTTGTTCCTTGTGTCATTATTCACAGGAAACCATTCCTTTGCACTAATTAAAGGATATGAAGACTATGAGACTCTTAACACGGGGTTTAAAAATGTCCGATATGCCATAAGTAAGCTTGTGGAGCAGGGATACATGGAGATTGACGGAAATAAAGTTCACCTACATTTCCATCTGGGAGGTGACTACAAGGTTAGTGAAATCCATGTGCTTTATGGTTTTTGATTTAAGATAGAAAATATCATGGCTTAAAAAGTGACTGTTAAAATGTTTTTCTTCTCTTTTTACAATAATTCCTGTTAGTTGCAATGGACATGAGAGGGGCAACATCAAACAATTCTTTCATCTAATGTTTAATCCACTAAAAATTAAAGACAGGCAAGTACCACTATCAACTTTAAAAACATTTTTGCAATAGTTAATCAACATGTTACTATGTTTCATGAATAGAACTATATTAAAAAATGAACACTGTGCAACTATGCCTGTAGGTGCAACATGTCTGTCTTCTATGACACTTACAATTCCCAAAGCACGAAGAGAAAGTTTGGGCCCAATTGGACAAGAGATCCTGGATGCTAATCTCTGCCACTGTTCGATATCCCTCCAGAAAACATAGTCATCAATGAGCTTCACCTAATGCTACGAATAACCGATAGACTTGAGCGGGGACTGATTTTAGAAGTACTCGACTGGGATGAGGTTTGTGATTTTCTTTGTAAAAACAATACTAATTACTATCTTCAAATAATCTCAAAATGGCAGTATTCAGCTTACTTTTGTAAATGTTCTTATTTTGTGTTAGACTGAAAACAAGACAAACCTGCTAATCAGAGAAAAACAGGAACACCTCAATAAACTTCTGGCGACAGTTAGATCAATAGGAATCCCCTTAAATGTGTGGAAAAATACAGAAAAAAATTGAGTGGACTTCTCTTCTTGGAGCTGCGAAGCGTTCTCTGCTCAAGAACCAGTGAACTGCTCAGTCTGTAGTTATCTCGCTCTTTTTGTTTCATTATTTGTCAGTCGTCTCTTGGAAAAGAGTCGTTGGACTGTACATGGGTAGATGCAGTCGTTTGGTTTAAAGTTATAATCATTTTAGAATAAAGTAGATGTTTTAAGCATAATTTTATTGACATACCATACGATGGGAAAGGGCACAGAATCGTGTCACTGGCCGAACGCACTAGCACTGGCTGGTTGGCTGTTGAATAACAAAAAATGGTTGTTTCTTTCTTTAATGTTTACAGTTCTTATATCAAATAATAATGAGCCTCTAATTATTATCCTAAATAATGGGCAAAGACGAAGACTAAGACGAAATCACAGTTTTGCTTATTTATTATTAAAAATACCATATTTCCTGTTGACGTGCCTCTATTAAGAAGAAGACGTCTAAATTGCAAGAAAATAAGTGACATACTTGAAATACATATTTTTGGATCAAAACAGATCAGTGGTCATTGTCTTACTCAACTATTCGTTGCGTCTATAAAGGCTTTTAAAACGAGCCACTTTACTTAGATTAATTAAGTCTTTGTCCCTCCCCCAAGGCACGATTCAAAATACTTCTACCCATCATCATTCTTGCACATAACCCTAGTAATCGCAGATTTCTACTAACATGACATGCTTTCATGTCTCTATTTTCCATCTGGAATGGTTTAAAAAAGAAACAATTGTTATGGCCATACATCCCTGTGTTGGTTAAAGTTTGGTATCACTGTCAGAGCTAAACCGCAAGATTGATTTTCGATAAACTCGCATAAAGTCTAGAACTTACTTAACAAAGGGGCAAATTAATGAAAGTCAAGGGTGAAACGTGTTGTTTACGCTCTTTGAAGAATCATTTCTCTATACCAATACAATTTTGATGAAAAAAAAGCCCACAAGAAAATGTTTTTGTTGACTTCAAAGTCTTGGTCATTGTATGTCTATTAGATGATAAATTCCTAAAAGCAACATTTAAATCCTAGGTTTAAGACTTTTTAAACACAAAAATACGTGGATGAATACGAAATCTCGCTTAACTGTAGCGCAGACTACCCTATCGTGGATCAGTTTATGTAATTGTCTTTACTTGCTTTCAAACCTCGTAAGCTCATGTAAACAGACATC